GTGCCTGAGGGAGGTATATGAGAACGTGAGAGATAACCTCTGAGATAGTAGAGTTAGTGGCAAAGAAAGCAATTCCGGTAAAGGGAAAGATAACATCAAAGGCACAGATTGAGTAACTTATAATTAGGCTGTTTGTTTTTGTTCCACACAGATACTATATATATGTATTCAGGAGTGGAAGGTAATGAGCCTTTGTGGGCAGCAGGGATTTCCTCCCTCCTCTGCACACACACAGATACAATATAAAGGAAAGAGCCTTTTCTTCCCAGCAAGCACAGGCCATTGTACACATGCAGTCTGGCGTGACCCTTGATGTTTTCTGGAGGAGTCTTTTCACTTAAGCGTGTGTTGAAAGATGAACTCACAATAACATTTGCAGAATACCCCTAAATGTAGAAATATGAGTTCTTCTTATTTGCAGTGCTGGGGTTAAAAGGAGAACAAGGTCTGACAGTCAGCTGCAGAAGAGGAGAGATTTAGAGCCTCTGGCTATACTCTTTCACTTTTTACCCCTGGGACCTGCTAAATAATCTTCGCAGCAGATCTGTATGAATTCCACACATTGAGAATGACATCATGCAAAGATTCCTTAGCAAGTTACATCCAGTGAGGGCAGATGATAAGAAGTTCCTTTTGTCAATGTGTGTCACAACATGAGGCAAAAGACTGTAATTGATTATTTTAATGGGATCATGAAGAAGACAGAAACATATCAAGGCATGTTACTAATTTGAATATTATGTGGTAATGTTTTCTTTTCTTCGGTTATGATTTCAGCAATACTATTGGCTAATGATTCCAACCTTTTACTCAAGTAACTGATGCAACATGTGAAATGAACAGGGGAGAATGCATGTTTCGAACAATGGGAACCTATAGCAGTAACATCCTGAGTGAGACATTGTATTGTCTTCTTTCAGGATGTAAGCTGTATTCCCTTTTCATCATTGTTCCCTTTCTCTCACCCTGACTAATTGCTTTTTGTACTTCCATCCCCTATTGTGGCGTAAAACAATTGCTATGTCGAGAAATAGAATGAAAATATTGTGTTTGTATAATGAGTGTGACATTTATCAATAAAAGGAGATAATTAACTTTTACACATCTGTGCTTTTATTAAATTGTTGATCAAATTCTTATTCGTGAAAAATACCAATTCTAGTTTAAATGCTATTTCTCATACATTTCAATCACATGTGTAAACACATTATAACTGCAGTGCAAAAACAAACAACATGAAACCTTCTTGCACTGACCAAACAGCTGACCATAAACAACATTTGGCCGCCCCCTTTTCTGCTCTGCGGTGGTGTGACAGTGTGAAAAGCGGAATCTACTCATGATATCCATGTGACAACCCAAGTAACAAAAGCTTGTTGAAATGAATCAGCGATCCTTAACATCTCTGCACTGAGCAGCATCAGTAAGCTGCCAACAGCACAGTGAGAAAAACTCTGCTTTCAGTGAGTGGGCAGAACTTTAAAAAAAAAAGTCTGCCTTGTTGCTAAGGGTGTATTGAATATAGGTTTCGGCATGCAGTGTAAGCCATGTGTAAATGCAACAGTAAAATTGGCCTGCCTGATCTAGTCTACAGGCCTTGCTTCATTACATTTTGACCCTCAAGCATCACCTTAGCTTCCAGACCTGGGGTTGTTATAGGATGCCTGGCTGGTTGGTGTTTTGGGTTTGCTTGGACCCTTGAACTCATTGACATTTATCTGTTTCTTTGGAACCTAGTCTCACTTCAGTACCTATCCACGACCACCTACAGAGTAACCAAAATCAGTTGAGTCTACTTGCTTTCAGTAATACATCTAAAAGTTGAATTCATATTTTCGTGTATGCAACAAAGTCACGCTAGTCACAAAACAAAAATACTAATGAGTTAATAGTTAGTGAATGTCCTTGTCTGCCAAGTGAAAACCAATAGGTCTGTGGGCCTCTGGGTAGCTTGTGATGTCTTCGTTCTATTTTAGCTCATCTCTACAGCCCCCTCTCCGATGTGTCGCCTTTTAGCATGTAACCTTCATGTCAAAATGAATTATTATGCGGGAAATGGTTGACTTCTGTGAGCCTCTACATTAGGATTGAACTCCTCCAAGAAAATGTATATGCTTTACTCTTTTGTTAACAAGTGTCAGAACGCAGAGACATTTTAACTATATTTATATAAAGGAGGTAATCATTAGGGGAAAAACATAACACATTAAATAAAAGAAATAATCAGCTGGGATTCTCAAATCCGTTACCCTCAAGGATAAGAGGGTATAGTTTATAGATGGGTTGATGGGAATAAACAACACAAAGAAACCATGCTGTCAGTATGATGAGGGCATAAAAAGATAGACATCCCAGGCGTCTTATTTTCATAGATAAAATCTGGTACAGTAGGGTGTAGATTATTTATAACTGACATTACATCAGTTGATAATAATTAGACGATGAAAGAGACACCAACTATGAATAACTAAAAGGAACTTGATATGCCATATCTTGGTCTTATCTTATTGTGTAACCCTCAGTGTGATTTTAAGAGATGTTCTGTTATTTATTTCAAAGACTACATCCCCCCCTGCGTTGTTAATGTGAGGCATTGATAAAGTTATTTAAATAGCCCGGGTGTCTGCTTTAATGTGTAGAGCGAAAAGGGCTACTGATTTCAATGCAGAGAAAAGTGAGATAGATACTAAAGTGGATGCTCTGGCATGCAAACAAATAATTGCAATAGTGCTGTGCAGAGTAGGTATGCACATAAATACACCTCCCCAGTTTAAATCTGAGCTGTTCGCTCTCTACTCAGACACACATCACCCTCTGTCTGCGAGCCAAATTCACTGTTTGACAGTTGGGTTTCAGATCTGTGATTTTTCAAACTACAGTGCCTCTATACTGAGTCTGCCAGTTTGAGTAGATAGAACATTCTTGTACTTGTTTCAACTCATTAATGCATGTATACCTTTTGGCTATGTTTACACCACAGTGTATCTTAATAGCCCTTACTTCATAGAATGCCTTTGTGTCTGTATATAAAACAGCACGTCACCTGGCATCCCTCTGTTTTACTGTATGGCCCATTATTCATGAAACACCTTCCTATTTACAGTGATGACAGCCAACCACGAAGGCCACCTGTCCCAAGAAGTGATTCACTGAAAATACCCTCTGGAAAATTACTCATTGTTTGTCCTAAACATTGTGAATATTGTAGGGTTTGAATGGGGCTTCCCCAATGTGCTCATCATTAACACATTTGCTTTCATCTTGGAGTGAAACCGTCTGGATACAACATTAAAGGCCCCCTTCCCTTTAGCTATTATCTGCTTAACATGTCTAACTAAATCCAGCAAGCCTCACTGCTTTATTCTTAACCGTTAGGGACAGGATAGTCTCAGGTCAACATTTCTGAACCACAAAATAACAGACACATGCAGACAAGTGCCTTTTCTGTCCTGCAGTCCAAACAAATATCTGCTCTAATGTTGGCTCCTGCAATGGACGATAGTAAAAGAAAGAGGACAAGAAAGATACACAATAACCCACAAAGGTAAGCAGAGCACCAAACGGCTCTTTTCTTTCTGCCTGCTGCACACCTTTGAGGCCAGCCTTTCTTGTAGCCCACCTTAAGAAAACATCCGTGCCCCCACACGACGCTGAGCCTTGTGTTTCCTTCTGTCTTTAATCTTAGTGAAAAGAGCTTTTAACAAGACTGGGGAGGATGAGAGGATCTGCCAAAGCCGAACAAAGGCGGGGAGGAACTGGGAGAGATAGAAACATAGTGGAAGGCTCTGTAATTTATCACCTGTTGCCCTTGGGCGGCCGTGCACTCCAAGCCCTGGGCGGTGTGTGTGTGTGTGTGTGTGTGTGTGTGTGTGTGTGTGGTGTGCGTGCGTGCGTGTGTGTGTGTGTGTGTGTGTGCGTGTGTGTGTGTGTGTGTGTGTGTGCGTGCGTGCGTGTGTGTGTGTGTGTGTGTGTGTGTGTGTGTGTGTGTGTGTGTGTGTGTGGAAAGGTGATGAATTCAAAGCAAAGAATAAGAAACAGACATTCCTCTTAAACCTTTCATATACATTACTTTGATCAATTATTTAAAGTGGACATTTGTCATCTGTTTACCACATTTATGCATAACTCCCTTGCCATAGTTCTGACACATACATGTTTGATTGTTTTTATTTGGGGGGGGGGCTGTTTTGGGGCTTAATGGCCATTATTATAATGCAATTAGAATGGGTAACATATGTCGTGTTTCTGTACAACAGTGCAACTTAATAAAATATTACAACTAAAAAAGGAATAAAGCAATAATAAATACTATCATAAAAATGTATTCATAATAAAATGAAACCACATTTTCAGAAAAGTTCATATCATGTTATTATGATAAAGCTTCAGTAGGTGGTTTAACACTTTTGACCGGTCTAAAGTCCCCTTATGTTTGCCTGCCACCTTGTGCCTTGTGGTGGCACATACAACATAGTATCAATATGGCTTCGTTTTAGACTATAACATAAATTAACCCATCAAATAATTATGAATAAAGTATAGACTATTTATATAAAAGAATATAGAATAAAGACAATTACTGCTTTCATAGATATTTAGAAACACCCGTAGGCCTATTTAGCTAAATGTTGTTAGAATGGCAATGCTGAAGCTGCATTCGAGTTCTGTAAATAAGCATGTTCTTGTCAGCACTGAAATATAATTCTTTAATTACAGATAAATGGTATCTTTTACTTGAGTTTGAAAGTGGCGTAAACGAACTGTTGACACATTGAATGACACAAATGTGAATTATACATAAATAAGCCAATGTTATTACATTTCCAATGTGAACTACAAGGGTATTAACAGGATTATGAACACATACATAACATGTGAGGGATTAACAGACCACAAGTCATTATATTTCTGTTATTCTTAACCTAACTTTTTTCTGACCACTCTGTCGGGTTGTTTTTTTCCCCTGAGCAGAATTCCTATATGGCCAACTACAAGCGAAGGCAACACAATGACGTAGCACGCAGCTGCCGTGTTTGGTTGTGGACGAAGAAAATAAGCTAGGAAGGAAACCTCTAGCATCGTAGATAAACACCCTGAAGAGGTGTGCACCCAGCGAGCAAACAGCTGTCACAACACCAAGAGAACAGTACAAAAGACCCGATTGAGTCCTTCAAACACCGAGGGTCAACATGTCTGAGACATACGGTATGTGTGTGCGGGGCGACAGGCAGTAGTTTCATGATGGCTAGCCGTCACTGCTCTGTGGTGTGATGAGACAGACTGGCTCTTAGCAACGATGCTAGTTAGCTAGCTATAAGGTTAGCTTAGGTTAGCTGCGGGCTGCCAGCTCACCGTGTCTTTTGGTTTTGATATTGATAGTTACGTTTTCTGCTTACATTTAATTCAAAGAAACTGGTGTACTTTAACGTTAGGTGTATTATATTAACTGGCACCTCTGTCTTATGATGGCGGAGTGCATTGCTTCCTTATACAGTAATGATAAAACAAATGGTGATACATTTACAGGTGAAAGTTGGACGAACTTCAGACTCAGAGCTTCATACATGTTGACACATACAACATATCTTTTAAGACTCTGGGGTAAGCTAATTGAAATTCCAGCAGGGGTAGCAAGATTATTGCATTCAGTCTCAGGTGATGTGTACTTTTGGGGCAAGTTAGCTCTTAGCTACAAGGCCTATAAGGAAGTTCACTGCGGCTGATCACCCCTCAGTTACCTGTGGAGCAGCAGCTTTTATGTGTGTCTGTTTACATCGTGAATCCAAGGAACTGCGCATCTGTATTCAGACACTTCAGACTATACATCACAAGATAAAGCTGAGAGAAGGTAGTAGAAGGTATCGCATGTCTATACACATTGACATTACGACAGACCACCAGTACTACTCATCAATTATTCTGCATACATGCATTCAACATGACACTTGCCTGATAGAATCAATAGTACAATTGACATGACACTGTAGACCCAGTTATTTTTTAAATGGCCCACCCATCATCTTCTCTTATAACACACACACACACACACACACACACACACACACACACACACACACACACACACACACACACACACACACACACACACACACACACACACACACACACACACACACACTCTCCATCTGCTTCTACTGGTACCCTGTCTCCTTCAACCCTTGATGAAACGTTGTCCCAGTGGGCAGTATTTAGGTAAAAGTGCAGCGGTAATTGTAGCCGTAATGGCCTTTTATTGATTTCTTCCTCACTCCTGTGCTGTCTCCTCTCCTGAAGGGCCAGTAGTGGAACTGGATCATCAATATGAATACACTTTGTACAGGGTAAATGGGCCAAGATGGAATTCATTAAATTGTTAAAATCTATTTGGTCTTTGGTCCATATGGCACTCTTTCATTAGTTAAACTGTGTAGTTGCACAATGTGGTTTATATAGATGGAAAAATATTATAATGTGGCTTAAAATACAGTTAGTCATTTTAATTAGACTGATTCTACTTTCAAAGGAAACTATACTAGAGAATAAGTTATTATTTATTAATTGTTGATGGACAACTTGGATAACCTATTTCTATAGTCCATACAGCTTCAACTAATGCTGATACATGTTCAATATAGGTTCTTTTATCAGTAATCCTTCGTTAATGGCCCTTGTATATAATATTGGAAAATGTCCATGCTGAATTTAAAGGATAAAAACAGACATTAGTGTTGCTTGCCATTGATTTAGACTTTTGTTAGAATTTAAATTTTTCATCACGTTTAATTATTTGTAAATATATAGTTTCCAGTTGACACACTTTCCTTCTGTCTTGTGCAATAAGACAAACATCTCATGTAACTTGAAGTTCAAATTCCCTGTGCACTTTGTCCTTCGAACAGAGGACACATCATCAGGCATAAACCTCGGATAGATCTGGGCCCCGAGATTGTTAAGTGTTGTCACTGTGTGAGCGAATGCAGATAACCGTGTTAGTCAGTTCTCTCAGGGGATATTTAATATTGATGTTTAAAGAATGCAATTGCCTAAAAGGCTGCTGCTGAGAGGCTAGTGCTGCATTCTTCTCTCCCCATTGCTTTGACATATTGACAGCTTGATTGTTGTATGCAGATCTCGCATGGGAATCTGTGATGTCTGGGAAGACGCTGAAAAGCTGAGGCAAGCTTTTAAAAAGGAGCTAAGCTTTTGATCTGTCAGTCCTGCTTTCACGACCAGTCACGATGTGTGTTTGTAACGTTGAGGAAAAGCTGTTACCGTGAATATGACCTCTAGCTTGTGTTGCTTAAGGAAACACTAAACAAAGGTGTACCATAAACTGAGCTGGCGGTGGTTTGTGTCATTCGATGAAGGTCGCTCTAAGCACACTCACTACATTGAAATGCCTGACAGGAACTAAAGATCAGTTTCATATGCTCATCTGTTTGTTTTTTTAAACTACTGTTTCTGTTGGCCTTGGGTCGGGCTGAAGACTTACAGGATGTTTACCTGACTGGTAATCTTAACAGGTGTCATTAATCATTGGCGAGGCCACCAGCAGTTTTGCCTGCAGAGGAAGCGCTTAAGATTGAACCAAATGTGCATCTCTTTAAATCCAGTTTAAGGCTCTCAGGAAGAAAATTGTAATTTAAAATTGTGATTTCACTCTCAGTCTGAAAGTGAAATCTCCCCGCCCTCAGATTTCCTGTCCTACTTTTACTACCTTTCTTATGCATTACTCACAGACACAGAGTTATGATTCAGTCACATACACGCAGACTTTGAATTTGAATTTTGATCACCACATTGTTTCATAACTTCGTATATGTAAATGTCCCCTGCACTATCTTTGGTCACAGCACACAAAGGCAGTCTGTCCTCTGGCTGGCTTTGCATGTCAGGGGCCCCCCGAGTCATTTGGGCTCTGGATCACGCGTGGGTTGGGTTGTACTCTCCAGAGCAAGGGTCCACTCTCCACAACAACATCTGTACAGCCAGCTGGCCGCGGTCATTCGATCCCTCTGCAAGTCCCTTTACCTAAGCCTCGTTCAATAACTTAAAAGCTTTGGCTCTGCTCTAATGACATGTATTATCAAGTGTTCGAGGCTTCAAACACAGTCGAGTTAAACAGGCCCATTCAATCAGAATCATAAGGAGTAGGTTATACTGATTACATGCGAGGCTCTGTGATTAGAAGGTTGTCGGATACTGTGCAGGTAGAAACTCAATGGGATTAGAAGTGCACAGAGCAGCGGGTTCAGATTCTCCTCTGACGTCTGTGTTGCATTGAGCTTTGCCTTCTCTTCCTCTCTTGCAGACTTCCTGTTTAAGTTCCTGGTAATTGGCAGTGCTGGGACGGGGAAATCCTGCCTCCTCCACCAGTTCATTGAGAACAAGTGTAAGTTTGACCTCATTAAAGCCTATTATTCCTATCCGGTGTGTATTAGAGTGAATACATAAATGTGCTGCTACACAAACTTTACTTCGTCACAATTAATATTGTGGATTTGATAGATTTTCAGAAATGTTATTCATTGTCTACCATGTGCAAACCAGAATGATATGATTTAAATAAATTGCTTTTACAGACTCCTAACACAGTAGTAGTAATGTAACTGTTTTTCTCCGCAGAAGTAATTAATTTTGATTTAAACTCACATCTTCAATTCCGATAGGGTTTTCTACTCAATACATATCTGATGGCTTCTGTCGTTATTATTTATGTCTGTTTTTTTTCTTTTCTGTATAGCAAATTCTAATAAAACACCCCAATCAACAATGGCTTGAAAAAAGTAATCGAGCTGTCAGAATGCGGTACATTGTTCAACTGTCTATTATAAACCTATAATCCACACTATCTGTCAAAACAAAACATTTGACTTTACTTTAAACTTCAGAACGGTTAAGATAAGCAAATAACCAAGCCAGTTAGCGCTAAGCATGTCCCATAATTAAAACTTATTTCACTCACACACATGCTTGTTTTAATTTGATTAAAGACGTGTCAAGTCCCTGTGCTGTCACCGGAGAGAGAAAGGGAGGGCGGGTTGAGACAGTGTTCATCTCATGTGAACATATGAAGACGAGAGCTTAGGGTTTTCAAACAAGCACAGAGCTCAACATATTAAAGATGATGTATCGTTTGGTACACACAGCTCAAATGAGTCTTCACAATGGCTTCTGTTCAAATCACTTTGCCAGGAAAAATACATAATGGCATAATGCGTAACACCCGTGCCGTACTATAATGTCACGTTGTCTTGCTTTTCACTCTCTTATTTTTCCTGTTTCAGTTAAGCAGGACTCAAACCACACCATCGGCGTTGAGTTTGGTTCCAGAGTCGTCAATGTTGCCGGAAAGACGGTCAAACTGCAGATCTGGGACACTGCCGGGCAGGAGCGATTCCGGTAACTGTCTGCAATATGTCCTGCTTAGGGTTTGGCAAACCTTTTAGAAATACAACATGACCCACATGCTGTCGTTGGGCAACGTCCAACTGTAAACAGTTACCCGCAGTTTCATGTGGAGATGTCACAGACTCTGAGCAGCTCCACGGAAGGAATGATGTCCTTGAATGATGATTTAGTTAAAAGCGAGGGATGGCTTTCCCTTCACCTTCCCCAGCCCAATTTAACTATCTGATATATAAGTTGTTCATATTTTGCTATTCTGTATTCTCTTCACAGTTCTGTTACGCGCAGCTACTACAGAGGAGCAGCTGGAGCGCTCCTGGTTTATGATATTACCAGGTAAACAATCTTTATACTAACTTTCCACTAACTAATTCCACTACACATTTGTGTAACAGAATAAACATTTACAAAAATATGTAAATCTCATATAGTTGGATATAGACACAAGCATAGGCTCCTGCAAGTGCATACACATACTTATTCCAAAGTAACTTTAAAAACAGAAAACACAACATTGTAGTTGGCTATTTACAGCAATGATCTTTTGAGGCGTTGAAATTGGATGTGGCTAGACTTGTAATTTAAATTCACTAACCCATGAAGCTTAACTGTAAATAGTATTTCACTTTTTTGAAGTATAATAGTGCCTATTATTGTTGTTTTGAGTCTGAAGTGTTTTCCACGTCCCTTCCACCTCCAGAAATTGAGCAATTAAATGACCATGCACTGAGACGTACACAATATGAATACCAGATCCCACTCACTGGTGTGTATTTCGTAAGCTCTGTGTAGCGATAGAGGGGTTGTGAAATCAATATGAAGTGAGTGCGGTAATGCAGAGAGACAAAAATGTAATACAGTTTGTGAGAGTGTACGGGCTCTTGTGGAGGGAGAATGGCGGCAGCAGGCGGGAAAGCTAAGGTCCATCACTGAGTGTCATCTGAGGAAAAAATAGGGGGGAGAAAACTGCATGCGGAGGAGGAGATGGAAAACAAGAGCGTGAGTGGGAGATGGAGACATTCATCGCGTCTCACCGGGAGGAGATTAGCAGGAAGATGGACAGGAGAGTAGAGAGATGCTGCTGCTGCTGCGTGTGATTCTGGAGTGACAAAGCAGCTGTTACGGCCCGTCCACACAGCGGCTTTGGAAAAAGCTTGCCGGCGGGCTTGTCTGAAGCTCGACCAACAACCAATCACATGAATCTCCCGCCCCTGACACACAAGCAGCGGTTTGATTGGCTAGAGCTTGTACTGATATATGATTTGATTGGCTGACGCTTCCACCGAAAGCTTCAGAAGCTTCAAAAGTTGAACATTGCTCAACTTTTGCAGCCTGAAACGCCAGGAAAGCTCCGCTCTGCTTCCCACAATGCAGTTCGGTGAAAAGTGACGTCACCCCATTCAAAGTGAATGGGCAGAAGCGTTGGAAGAAGCTTCCAACGCCGCTGTGTGGACGGGCCGTTAGACATCATTCTACTGACCTCACTGGCCTCATGTCACCATGGACACCCGGGACCGGTCTCCATGGTGACCGGTTGCTTTAACCCCAAGAAGTTTCCATGAAGGCTGTGTGATGGTCGTCACTGCCCAACAGACTGCTCTATGTAATAATTAATCTCATCCAGTGGGCAGCAGGGAACCTCTGTCAACTTTCCTGAAGTACTTCCCCGTTGATAGAAATCAACACGTAATGAATTAAGACCCCACGGTTTGATGATTGATAGGTGTGTGGGCTGTCTTTCATTTTGACACGCAGAATTTTTTTATAATAAACATAGATACTGTATGTTAAATGGATATATCTGCCTTCTTTCATTTATCTTTCCATTCCCACAACAATATACATAAATAAATGGCATATTTTGGACATAGTTCGAATGGTGATTAATCATGATTAATTAATTTTTAAGCTGTGATTAATCTGATTCAAATTTGTAATCGTTTGACAGCCCTAATATATATATATATATATTTCAGGTGATGCTGATGGGGAAAATAATTTGAACTTATAATAATAAATTATATTTGTATAGTTATTTTCTGGGACTCAAAGTCACTTTACCGTTTGCTCTGTCCTGCCTTACAGTCGGGAGACGTACAATGCCCTGACCAACTGGCTGACAGACGCACGGACCCTGGCCAGCCCCAACATCGTCATCATCCTGTGTGGAAACAAGAAGGACCTGGATGCAGACCGGGAGGTGACCTTCCTGGAGGCGTCGCGCTTCGCTCAGGAGAATGGTAACTAATGTTAAATCTTTCTCACTTTCCGGTGTCCTGCTGTTTGTGTTATCGTCTTTATTCATCTGTATGCTTGCTGTTCACTAGTTGTGCCCGGCCAGCCTTGTTCTTTGTTTGTCCTTCTGTCCTTTTGACTCTTTCTGTTTATCTTCACCTTGAGGGTGTGTTTTGTATGCCACTACACTGGTGACAGCCTTGGTCGTAGAGTTTATGTTTTTGGGTCGTCCGTAAGTTCGTCAATTTGGCATTAATATCCCAATTGATATATATTTTGACATCAATCTGGATATTAGGAAGACCGGATTAGAATGTAGTGGTCGATGGTCAAGGTCACTTTTTAGAGAGACATGAATGTTAGCTGCTTCTTGATTGGTTGTTGGACGGCCACAAAGGGTTAATTTCAGTTTGACTCTTTTTTTTAGAGCTGATATTCCTGGAGACCAGTGCTCTGACAGGGGAGAATGTCGAGGAGGGTTTCCTGAAGTGCGCTCGCATCATCCTCAACAAGATAGAGTCAGGTATGCTGAGTCATAACTTCTTAAGATCTGTGAGCTGGCGTGAAGCCACGTTGATCCGCCTTCATTCTGCTCTACACCTTTACGTCTTTGTTGCTGACGCTCCTCCTCACGGTTCATTTCCCAGGCGAGTTGGACCCGGAGAGGATGGGCTCAGGGATCCAGTACGGAGACGCTTCGTTGAGGCAGCTGCGGCAGCCGAGAGGCACCGCCACACCCGTCAAACAGCAGTGTAATTGCTAGGGTTCGGGGCCCTCCCCTCAGCCCACAGGCCCACACAGACAGCACCCCCCCTACAGGTCAGTGGTATGGTCAACTCAGACTGCAGGATCTTTTCAATTAGAGACTTGATCTAAACTCACCTTCTTGTGCTCTCTTCTCCAGGTGTTTTTTGGTGTGTGTGACCCTTCTCTCTGCAGTCTCACACACCTTACATCACCTGGCAACCCCTGACCTCTGGTAAGACTCTTCTTCTAACCTGAGGGGGGCCAGCTGTGCCCTTGTGTCTGCGCAGGGAAACCCCTCAGTGTGAAGACGATAAGATCACAAAGAAGAGAACAAAATGGCTTCCCTGTGACTTACCAGAGAAGGACGAGTCGAGGGTTGTGTGTCGACTGCCCTGCTGTTTATCTGTGTGTTTTTCATTCTGGTTTTAGTAACACCGACATGCTTCATACCATTGCATATCATTGTTTCTAAATTATTATTGGTGATCTATTTTGCGCATACTCATTGTTCAACATATCTGGAATTGATTCATTATAACATCTTAAGAGTTTTTATATTGGTAAAGTCACTTGTTGATTTTTATTTGTTGTTATTTAACTGTAATGTTCGGCCTGTGATTGATGGTGATGTGAGTAACAGTCCAAACACATACTCTTAAAAAGTTAAACTGCGCAGATTTTGATTAAGAATGAATGTAGATATTGAAAAACAGATGCATCCCTTGTGACTGTGTCTGCAGATTTTTCCGATCCAAATGGAAACAGTTGAGCTCAAACATGGTAATTCAAAATGTAAAGTCATACAGACCCAGATTTAGAGCCCTGTGTGTTTTACGTTGAGTCATTTGACATTTTGATTCACATTAAAATGCACTATTGTGACATAGAGTGTTGGCCATAGTAATACACTTGATATTGTGGGTCTACAGTATATTTTCCCTACTCACCACGTCTGTAAACTGTCGAGGGGAACTCCACACACTCCTGTGGGTCAGGTTTAAAGCACAAAAGAGAGGTTTTGCTCTTGATTTAACTCCAAAGTTCCCAAAGTCTGCAGCCTCAGATTTATCCCGTGATAAATTCCCAGCGTCTCTGGTCCTATCCCGGTGTAAGGTTAAGAAAGGGTCATCATTTTTTGAAAAACTAACAATGCCTTTGACTCCTCCTGCTGGGCTTTTTCTCCATTTTCTTTCCTTTTATTCACGCTGCACATTCTGTGTCGGGGGACGTCACAGGAAACCACAGTTGGTTGGCCTCAGTGCCATGTTTGGGGAAACGTTCACTCTGCCCACTCAGTTCCCTCGTAAAGACTGGACTATGTTTAATACAAGGTTGCAAGAGCGCCATGATAAAAATCAGGATGCTGCTTGTTAAGTACTTTTCACTTTTCTTTGTCAAGCAGAGAAGCAAATCGGTTCGTGTAAACAAAATGCCGTCCCAGATGGTGATTTCTCTTTAGAACAGACCCAGTGCTGCCCCAAAGGGAAGCAGGGAATTCCCCCTGAAGCATGGTTTCCTCTTTGCAGCACTGACAGCATGGTTTGTGGTGCTGCGGGATGAGGATGAGGTTGCGAGTCGATAACTTAAAAACGTCCCGCCCAACTATTGAGTCAAATGCACTGCTTCTGTCTGAACCGCTGACCCGACTCCTCAACTGTTAGCATATGTCCTCCCAGACAAACCATATGCGTTATAAGCCCAAGTGAGTCAGCACACTGAAGGGAGAAAGCGGGTTGTGCAAACATAAGATAGTGTAGGATATCAAGAGACAGATAGTCAAGGATTTATTTAGTTTTCATCAAATATTGGCATTGGTGGAAAGTCTCTCCTTCTGCAAGTGCACTTTTACTTTTGAATGTTCATGTTTTGTTTATATGCTGCAACTCTAGAATTGTACATTTTATTTTACTTGAACAGTATACTGTAATAAAGATTTTAATTGTAGATGTTATCATTTTTTGCTAAATAACAACTGAGATTCTTGATTTGATTTCCTTGTTTCTGCTGGCTGAGGTTTGTTTGTGTACCCTGCTGAGGTGTTTGTGGCAATGAAAGGATGTTCACTTCCTGAACTGTACAACCATCAGCAGCAGCTCTGACATTCAACAGGTGTCTTTTTTGTATTCCCTTATCAAGTCCTATAAACGCTGTTGAGCCAGAGTCAACTGGATTTCTCATGTATGTATGTATTGTACAGTTCATTATCAAAATAGCCATATGATAAGAATCACTTCCTGTCTTGATTTAATCGTGATGAACGCAATCCTACTCAGTTGTTGCTTAGTAACTAATGTAATATAATCAACCCAAAATACTACTGTACATCTCAAGTAACATATGCTGTAAATAAGATTTGTCTATTGTCCATTAAGGGTGAGTGTTGCTCATTGATTGTAATGAATATGCAATTCCCAGTAAACTGCTTGTTTTTTTCAGTCCCTCCCTCTCCGTCTCTCGATGGTTCTGTGTCTTGTCTCTAAGCAATTGCAGGTTCCTGTTAAAGTGCCCACTTGGCTGCCCAATGGACTTTAAATGCACTACATCCTAATATATGTAGTCCTCACTTCTATATTTTAGCTCTCCTATGAGCAGTGACTTGTTTCGCCTCAGGTTTATAGGCAGCTGACGGCACAGAGCCTGAATGTAACAATAGAGTCCATGTACTGGTTGATTTGCTTTATCTTCCATTCTTCAGTGGAGTCATTTCTTTCAAAGGCAGTCAGGGTAGGATATCAGAGGACTCATGAGATGAAGAGTAAATGTCCTCTGTCCAATTGTCTGGATTTATGTTCTCTGGTCCATGGAGCAGCAGATAGTGGTTTAATGTAGCCGGAGTGGATATATTGACTGATTTATTGATCGTGGATAGGCTGTCAGAATGACCTCATAACCAAATTGCATAATTTACTGAGGCAGAGCTGATTGTGTACCACTAGATGGTGCTAAAGCATTAAGATATATAAAACTATCCTTGATTGCACTTCGAGCTTTAGTCAATCGTTTTTTTAGTCATTTAAAAAGCTGTTCTTGTTAAGCCGATTTTAAGGTAAATATTCTAACCAGAATGTATAGGATATTAACTACGTAGTTAACATATCATGCAGTAAAGTCTTATCTAATTTCCTAGCGATATATCATTAATTAGAAGCAGATATGGTTGATCATCATGTATCACTTCATTTGTTTATTTTTTATATTTACATATAATAGGTTGCATTGTGGGTAGTTGAGCCAGAGACAGAAATACAAACAAGCACACGTCTTCCATCAACAAACTCACAGGGGACAAGGAAGCATTACATATTTCACAATTGCCTAATGATTAAAAAAAAAAATACAAAAGTCCAACAACAGTAACATTTGTAACCACCTTCGTGACTGGATAAAGTAAAATCAGAGTATGACAAGACATTTCATAAACATTGAAGTCCAGCAAAGGGAAATGCATAAAAGCAGCTTTTGTTTTCTCAAAGTTCATGAAGCTTGGAGGAGTATGTTAAAAGCCAATTTGTTTTACGCAATGGCAAAGGAATTATTGATTTCATACAAGTAAATACTCCTCAGATCTAATGAGCAAGAACAACTCTTTCTGGAATGCATTTGTTATTTGTATAATATTCAACATACGCCAGATACACTGTACGTAAACACCACACAAAGCAAACTTCACAGTACTGCTTTAATGTAAAATACACGTTCTACGTCCAGGTCTTTATTTCCTTCTGATTGGGTTTTTAAGTGAGACCAACAAGCACCACGAGTAGCGTCAAATGATCGCAATGGTTTTCTATGCAGTGAAAACAATTACCACATCTGGAGCGCAGCTATCCGAGCTAACATAGGATACACTGCTGATCATTATGGGCCATGAGAGGAGGGCACAGGTTACCATAACACACCTTCACAATGACACTCGTCCTGAGTACACTCCATTCAATTATCAACTTCCTGTTGAGGCTCAATTGCTCTGAAGGGCTTTCTAGTTGTGGTTTGCTTGCACTATGATCCAGATAGATACATCTAATAGCACATCACTAACACAGTCTTTCTTTATAGTAATGGCTGTTTCAGGCCGAGGTGCTTGTTAGTTACAGTAGTGTCTTTAAATGAAGTTAATGTTAATAAAGGGAGAGGAGGAAAAGGCAGTAAACAGAGGCAAAAGATGTTTGTGAAATGCTAACATGTTGAAATGTAGAGCCTCTTAACACTGGGGGACTTCATTAGAAATGCAGAGTACTGCAACATATAGAACGCTGTCACACACAGGTTACTGGAACTTCCGAATCATAAATCCATATGTAATCAATATTGTGCATTTCTATTTCTAAAAACAGCTGTCCTGAAGTTTTGAAAGAGTGAAGTCTGCTCCGTAGGGGCAGAACAAGGATTGGTGGGAAGGTAGGAAGAATGGTTTTCTGTATTTTACTCAAGCGACTGCAGCATGAGGAGCTGCTTGAGCACCTTGGTCTGACTGGTCTCCCTGATCTCTCCCGCCAGGAACATCTCGTCCACCACCGTGTAGACCTTAGAGTGACACAGGAAGTGCATTAGAGAGTGGACATGGTGATGAGGAGAGGATTCAGGCAACTAAAACAAAACAATAATACAGATGCAACATTTAGCATCGTTGGACCTGAAACCAAAGTGACATTATCGTCTTCCCTTCACATAGAAAGGTTTCCTGGAAACTCCTCATCACCTAACCTGTGGTCATCATTACTCAACTCCACCTTTGTGTCATCAAAACGACAATATAACTGCTGGATGACTAAATATAGAGAGATTATCAACGTGGCAGATATACTGGGATCAATCAGTCCTCGCCACACACCAGACAGAAGAGGGGCTGAGCTTGAGGAGCAGCAGGAAATCAGTGAATTAAAAAGTAGGTTTTTCCTATTTGTCTGCGTGTAACGTGTCCAATGGGGGCGATGCTTGGTTAAAGTTAAGCATGTTGTTTAGACAAATTGTGTTATTAGTAAAAACACTATTGCAGTTGGGAAGGAGTTCAGGGATGCTTGTTGCTTAGCATTTCCCCCGATGCAAAAATATATATCCATCCCTTATTAAAATGTGTAAGATGAATCTTTATGAATGACCGTTTCCATGGCGGTGTTTTTTTTTTTCTTTTTCCAAAGGCGTTATAATTACATAAAAAATATTACATAAATAATGTAATAATATCACAAATCATATAACCTTATGATTTGTCCTTACCTTGTAGAAGTTGAACACAAGGTCCAATTCACACACGTTGTGGAAATATTCATTCAGCACCTTACAGGAAATAAAAACATAAGACAAACATTTAATTGAATCATACATCAGCCAGGAAATAAAATACTATGATAAGACTTAAAGATGTATGGTAATAGTAGGACCTTAATGTAAGAAACTAGTGCAGACATAAAAAGACACAGCTGAGTCAGCAGCAGATACCACATCATGACAATTTCCACTAACTATCCCGAACAATTCGATGATTGTAGCGCTTGATTCATCACGTTTCTACAAGATGTCATTTTGTGGTATAGAGTCATTTGCAAAGGCAGAACAAGTCACCCTTTCTTAAGAATTCGCTTAGCTAACCTGCTGTGAGCCTATGTGCAGTTCATCTCTGTTTATCATAACATTGGTACAGTGACTGAAAATACATATATTAAAGCTTGTGCAAGCGCCACTTAAGACCAGGGTGCATTTAAGAACAAACTCACACACATATCTTTAGTCAAACATTACATCAAATGACCTTCACAGTGCTGTGGATTGTAAACATGTTACTGTTTGTCTCGGGCCAAATTCAAACAGTACATCATACTGTTAGAGCATTTATCAAATGGAATCTCAATAGCAAAGTAAAAACGCTTTTTAATGTAATAGTTATACTGACAAGGGTTTGATTGAATACATCAAATGATACTGTAATTAGGTGACTGTGGAGTTCTATTTCAAAACAGATTTGCACCATTTTTAAAATGTACACGATTATTCCAAAGCAACAGTTTTGACACACCCAACTGCCCGACAAAGAGGATTATTTGAGATTATAGCCATTTCTGGAATAAAATGTTTGGGACATTTCTGTCTTAACCTAGTTCTCTGGATGGGGGAACCGATGTTATTCAGAAGGAACTCTAAAATCCTCAGGTCATCAGAGCTGTTAGAGAATCTTGGATTTATGGGGTTGGAAAAATTCTGCTACAGCAACAAACCCAGCATGATGGCATCAGGTCTGACTCTAACATTCAGTGTATGGTGGTGAGTAACGACAGGCTGCCGTGACGTGAAGGACAAATGATGACAGATGCAATGATCAATACAAGAGATGTGTCCCCAGTGCAGGTCACTCAGCCTCTGAACGGAGCACTGGAAGTATATTTGTTCATCAAAAGCACATTGGCATGGGTCGTTGGCACTGATGTTCGTACTAATCCACACACAACATATTTAGCTTCATGATTCAGTTTACCAAGGAAACCACATAAAAATGTCCTGGATCAGAATATTGCCATGGGCTTTTATCACATGCCATCCAAAGTTATTTATGCTGTGACTAGCATTTAATTCAAGATAATACATTAATACGAATAGTTTTCTCCCAATATATCTGATGATAACTCGACTGATTTACTTCACTAAAACCTCATTTCACTCCCTATTCCAGTGGTTCTCAAACTTTTTCTGTCAGGCCCCCCCTTTGGAGAAAAAAATAGTCGGGTCCCCCAAACACAAATAGTCAGGCTCAGTGGCGGCGCCCGAGATTTGTTTTGGGGGTGCTGTGGGGTAGCTTGACGTTTCATAGAGGGTGCTCAAACATTTAGGGTTTCCCATTAATGCACCGGGCGCTACAGAGGAATTTTCTACTGCAACAATCCCCACACACACACACACAATGTACCCGCGACTGTTACAATGAAGGCTCGATATCAGCTCACGGCATATAGGTGTAAGCAGGGGTAAAGTGCTATTTTTATAGGTGGTGTGTGGACCTCACATAGGGGGGTCCGGGGGCAAGCTCCCCCGGGAATATCTTTAAATATTGAAGTTAAAAGCATCAATCTGGTGCACTTTGAAAGCAACATTAAGAGATCTATGGATACATCTCTCAACACCTATGAAACAGAACTGTAAACAGATTTACTTTTTCTTTATGGATATTTTACAAATCACCCTTTTGAACTTTATTCTTTTTTTACTGTCATAGTATTTCATACCTGTTTTTAATTGATTCTCTTATTTTTTTATAACTATAATGATCATATAAATGTGTGCCTCGGAAATAATTGTTTACATTAATGGTGACCAAAACGTTTGAGACCCACTGAGATAACACAGAGAGTCCTTTAGTTCACCGAGTCTCTCAGTCTGACAGGAGAGGACTCTCCTCCACCTTGTTGTTGAAAAAACTCCTTATATCCGTTAGCGTAGCTAGCTAGCA